TTCTTTTCTTCCACAGCTTCATGGAGCTGTCTTTGGAGGAGCCGATTTTTTCGGTCCATGTATTGGAGATCCCGTTGTATCTTATCACTCATCGTTTTCTTGTCTTGGAGCTGGTTGGTCATTTCTTTTAGTTCTGCACTTTTTTGCCTGTTTTCTTTAATGAGGTGCACAATCTGCTCTCGGGTCTGAGCAAACTTGATTCCCCAGCCCTCATTAATAATTCTTATGTCCGGCTGGCGCTTCCGCTTATCCTTTTCAGGGTTGCGGGGGGCGCTGGAGCCTATCCCAGCTGTCACAGGGCAAGAGGCGGGTTACACCCTGGACAGGTTGCCAGTCTGTCGCAGGGCCCAAAAAATCGTTCAGCAAAAACTTTAGGAAGGATTAAATCAACAACATGGTTCATTCTTAAGTGGAAGAATGCTCAGCAACACCAAAAAGGCCTGACAGACCACAGAAGACACATAGAGTGCATGATGACAGAATTATTTCCATGGTTAAATAAAACAATTTCACAGCATTTAACCAAGTTGTGATCTCTCTCAGAGAGGCACGACTGCCTGTCAGCTCTGTTAAGATGTCGGCTGCCAGTGGAACCCAGTCACTAGTGTTTATTGATGTGAGTGTTAACTGTGTGAAGTGTACAGGACTATACTTTCTGCTCAGATTCAGCCAAACACCGTATAACTGATCAGAGTTTCACAGTGTAAATGGATAATGACTCATTGCATACCTTGAAAGTCACCCAAGAGTTTCTCAAGACAAAAGAAACAGGATATATCAGTCACCTGATCTAAACCCAGCAATGCAGCTTTTCAGTTACTGAATAAAAACGTGAATGCAGAGAGACCCACAAACAAGCAGCAACTGAAGGTGGACCGGCAGAGCGACTCAAGGGAGCAAACGTAGCATTTGTTCACGTCCACGTTCTAGACATCAGGCAGTCATCGACTGCAAAGGATTTTCATCCAACTCTTAAAAATAATACTTCCAGTTAAAATTACGTTAGATTGTCCAGTTACCTTCGAGCTACTGGTTATGTATTAACAGCATTAACTGTCCCAAATTGGTAAAACAAAATGTTGGTCAAACCCCTTGAATTTCAATCACATCTGGATTTTTTTGATGTTTTATTCACTGTGGCGGTGTACAGAGGCAGGATTACACATTATAGCATATCCTGCAAACCCTGAAAAATGTAAATGAGATCAGTAAGATTTGATTCTGTCATGATTAGGCTGTGTGCAGGCAGGATGAGGACCCAAACGCAAGCTCACGGAGGCAGGAATGAACTCAAAACACAGTGTTATTGCTGACGGAAGTTAAGGCGATACAAAATAAAGCATTATTTCATATTAATGAAGATATAAACTTGTAAAAAAAATTTAATATTGTAAAGTGATAAAATAACAATACAGCAAACAAAAAATATTCTTCCTCACACTGAAAAATATTCAGCATTGCCATAAAGCGCCCACATCAGCTTGACACAGCTAGAGATACAAATGATACTAAATGATATTGCTAAATCTAAATTCTTAGGAATATTGTTTGTCTTACAACATATATCATCTGATAATCACCTCTGATAGTCTCCAGCACCTGAGCAGAAACACTATTTGAATTCACAGTGATCCAGTGGGGAATTGGCAAGTACCTTTAGACCCATTAGACACAAACGCCAACCATTTTACCATTTTCGGGGGGAAATTTGTGCCAGTTTGTCAAAAAGCTGGTGTTGTCCCTTCAAATCCACGTTTGGCCATTAGCCAACAGTTAATCACACAATAATCTAACACAGTGAGCCGCAGCTGATGTAAATGTAACCATGCTGGTTTGCAGCTGCACACATCTATTTTGTAGTGCCCATATCAGGAGTAAATACAACAATTTCCTAGAAACATTGTCCTAAAAAGCTGCTACTCCACATTAATTCACACTTTAATTTTGCATTTCACTCAGGCTTTAACATTTCCATGAGGACTAGCCGGCAGCTGTACTGTGCATCTTCATATCCGTACAAATCCGTGTGTGTGTGTGTGTGTGTGTGTGTGTGTGCGTGCGTACGCCTGTCCACCTACTTTGACCTCTCCGTCGGCGCCCGCGGTAAACAGTCGGGTCTGCGTAACGTCTAGGGCCATGGTGGAGATCTCAGCATCACCATGGCAACGGTGGAACTGCTTGACCTTTTGTCCTGTGTCAGTCAGCCAGAAGATCACAGAGGAGGCAGAGTCGCTGCTGACTACCTGCAGAGAGAGTTTGATCCATGTTATGCTACAGCAAAGGCGCTAATGCATTCTTTAATGATGCTCACATAACCAATCCATTCTCCACGCTTATTTTAGCGCTAAGCCACCGCTGAAGAATACATAATGGGAACAAGAGGAGGAAGAAAAACACGAGTGTCGCACAATAGGTGCTCATTTTCACTTGTTTGGTGTCTGCTGCCGCGTCAGTGGGAAACAGCTTGTTAAGAGGAGTGAGAAGAACTGTAGAACTTACCTATTGTACTAATTGTACATGTGGAAACACAAAGAAATAAAACAGCAGGTCACAGAAGACCATGTCACTGGCATACCTGTCTGAACCGACTGTTATACAGCACACAGGTAACAGGATGTTCATGGCTACTGGTCTTCTTCTCCTCCCTCTTGGATTCCAGCAGGAGAAGCAGGCTGTTGAATGAAAGCACAAGGTGCTGGCGCTCCTCATTGAGAAACAGGAAGGGGTGTGTGTCCCCCTGTATGTTTGGAAAGACACCGGCCAGACGGTGTGTGCACAGCTGGCTGGACACATCCCACAGACAGAGCACCTGGAAGGATAATAAGGGCTCTTATGTGTCTGTGCTTAAGGGCAGATATTTTGGTACATATCCACATGTTCCTAAAAAAGAAAAGTGCCACTAAAAGCTATCGCTCCTACAAAAAAAACTTTTATTCAGTGATTACCAAGCAAATACATCGTTGCACCATGAAGAACTGCTCCTCTGGTTGCAGTTTTAGTGGCCATATTGCTTCTAACGGCAATAACATGTCTGTCGCTGCTCCAGAAATTCTTTCAAAGTGAACTGAGGTAAAGCCTTCAGAGTTTCTTGCAGTGGCAGATGGTGTTTGAGCAGAGGCAGATGGAACATAAATCACTTCTAAAATATTCATTCTCTTCAGAAAAGCCAAAGAGAAGGCAAACATGCACGGTGCTACAACAGGGAGAGGAAAAGCAACAGAAGCACCAACATCCTCTTTGCATCAGAAAATAAAACAAGGCTTTAAAAGAAACACCAGCTGACAGTGGCAAGAAAAATGTGAAACAGGCTCGTCCCCAACACCTCGTTCGTCTGCAGTAATTAAAGCAACGAATAACAATTAATATTACAATTACGGGGCTCTTCATCTCTACATTATCTGCACTAGTAGCGGGTCTGTGCACCCACTGAAGGGCACTCCTACCTTATCTTGGGAGTAGCTGAGGAGTTGTTGCTTGGTCTGCAGGAAGCAGACAGCAATGACGGGGCTTGTGTGTCCACCAAGGGCGCACGCCGGCTCAGAGGTCACGTAAGGATTCCACAGCAAGACGTGATGATCCACACCTGCTGTGGCTACAACCAATCAGAGGCACCATTCAGACCTGGAAGTAACAGGCTTCTTTGTGATCCTAACACAAGCGGACAGCTCCAGCCATGTTAGTTCACACCTGGCATAAGAATGCATGTCCAGTGTCTTCCGGTGACTTTTCCTCTCTATATGGAGATAATCATTTACATGACTTCTGTTTGCAAATGAAGATCAAATGCCCGCACGGGTCCCCTCCAAGTCAAATCCACCCCACCATGAGCCCACCTGTGATTAAACAAACAGGTTTACTCACTATTTATTTATTTACATGCACAGTTGGCCAACAGCCTTATGCAAAAATCTGTCAGATCTCAGTGCATTCCGACTTGGAGATAACTGCATGTTGATTCTGGTAGCAGGTCCGGTCAAACGTAGGTTTCAGAAATGGACTTGTGCCGGACTTTGATCTCGAGTCTTCGCAAATCGAAATTATGTAAAGCTCACTCGCATACAGAGCGGGGTAGTGAGATCCAATTACAGGTGGTCATTCAAGATGCATTTTAATCCCAAGGGTGAACTGACTGATCATCAAAAGAGACATTTCAGTGCCAGGTCTGAACAGCTCCCAAATTAGCGGAGATATTAATTGCAGTTATTTCCAGGGAACAATACCGCTCCCAGCCCCCTCCACCACCACAACCAATTTATTGTTCAATGAGGCATTTGACAGTTTTGATGATGCATTGTTAGTAAATTTAAGTTGATTGATTGAGAACTGTAAAAGCATTCACGTTTTTGCAATTATTTAGAAGCACATGGTATGGTACATTAGACATTTAATAGATAGTGTACAATCATTAGAGTTTTTTTTGTTTTTTTTTGTTTTTTTTATGTAAAACCTCTAAGTTAAACCTGAAATGAAAACCTTCAAGTGAATAAATATGATTCATATACACTCATGGTAAAAACAAAGTGCAGCCTCTTTCATTCAAGGTTCTATCAGGCATAATAAAAAGGTAGCTAAATATAATCTGAGGTTAATACAGCCTTAAATGAACAACAACAGACAAAATGACAAAATATGACATATTACACTGTGTACAACCTTACTGCTTCCATAGGAAGTAAGAAGGTAATTAGCAGCCAGGTGCTAATAATCAAATGTACTTGATTAAGTGACCATTTGCATGTAAAAGCAGAAGGTTTTGGCCATAATGCACAGCGCCATGAACGCAAGCATACTTAATGTCGAGCACGGTGGTGGAGGGCTGATGATCTGAGCTTGTTTTGCAGTCACAGGACCTTTGGATCATTGAGTGGACAATGAACTGAATACTAACATATTAGAGTCACATGTGAGGCCATCTGTCTGACAGCTAAAGCTCGTCATCCAGAACAGTGATGTTTTGAATCATGAGGAGCACATAGTTTTTTTTTTTACATACTTCTGCATTTTATCTCAGTTTTTGTGAAATAAATAATGTCAGAGTCTTCATCTGAGGTTGCATTTGCCAAATTTCAATTCGTAGTAAGGACCAAATTATTTTTATCATGTCGTAATACCTAAAACCTTGAAAATTACATTTTACCATGACTCTATGTCATCATACTTTATGTTGTACAGCCACTTCGTTTGGACCCACCTAACAGGCCGAGTCCAATATGGAAGTCGACGTCCCACACACCGTCCTTTGTAGAGTAAGAAGTGATTCGTAGGCTCGTGCTTTCCTTTTCCCTCCAGCCAATCACGATGCTGCTCTGCGGTGCGATGCTGCACGACACAAAGGCCTCAAGTGAGCCCAGGTAGCGCACTGCAAGAGGCATAATAGTCAGAAAAGTGAAAGTAAATCAGAAGTGGCATACTGTAGTTAGCTTGACTCCATCCAGAAAAAAGCAAGTAGATAGTATAACATTATATTAACATTTCTGCAGTTTATGTCATTGTAAATTTCTGCTTTAGCATTAGGAGCTGCTTATTTGTCATCGTCTTCCAATCCACAATAACTACAACTGGTTTCATCATAAAGGAAAAGCTGTATGGCTTGTACAAACACAGCAATAGGCTTTTTATCTACAAGCTAATTTCAAGAGAAAAAAATAATCCTAAACAATAGCTGCTGCCTTCCTGTGTAAACAGCAAAAGTTACTGGCAGAGTGACTAAATTAGTTTCAAACTTGACAAATTCAATATAAAAACAACATTGCAACATATTTTGATGATGACACACTGCTCATCTTCTTTCATTTCCTCAAATTATATCCTTCTCCTTGCTGATGCCAAAATGCTCTCACTAGCACGGCTCCAAAGGATATCCATCCACTCTCTGAAACGGTTGCGCTAAATGTGCAATGACCGCAGCCGTATAGTAAACCGACCAATTCTCAGGAGCTCAATATAGCATAGAATTAGGCGGTTATGATTTGCTCACTGGTATTACAGAAAACGTAATGGATCTTGCATCACCATCTATCTCAATTAAGACTTTGATTGAGACCAGCTAAATTGGTTGCCACATGTCTCTATTAGAGGCTGCTTAACTTTCAAAGCCTGCACAAGCTAAGGGCTGGTTTTGAGATGGCATGTGACAAGTCATAGGTCAAACACTGGCTGGAGAGCTTGGGGCAAATAATTATATCTGAATACACTTCACGCATTCCCATCTTTGCTCCGCTCCGTGAATTTAAGAGATTAGTGGATTTTCAGACAGCGCGTTGTGACTCATCATTGATTAATGATCCCTTCTCTTATTCATTGACAAGCACAGCTCATCAAACTAGTTGTGATGCAGACTCAGATACAGAACATCTGCTTCCTTAGCCGGTGCTGCAGCTATTCTCGCACTTTCACTGCTGAGATTGGAAATAACACAGAAACAGCAGGAGTCATTGTGTGTTTATATCAAAGCAAACCTCTCGTGTTGTGCAATAAATCGCTGCACGTTATGGGAGATTTTTATGTTACCTACACGTTCTCTCCATCACTAACACACCCCTTCCTTGCACCTCTCATTCTTTGTCCTTATAGGACTGTTGTCCATCCCAATTTCCTCCTAATTTGCTCTCAATTTCCCCTCACTGATCCACCGCTGTCTCTTTCTCCTTCCTCTCCTCCTCTCTCTGGTGGCCCATGAGCCTGAAGGTTTGGAGGTCTGGATAACCAGGCATGTCTAATGGTACACAGCCCACTCATACTGCAGGGTGGGAAACTTCAAAAGAAAAAGCACCAGCACCCCAGAGGTATGCAAACACACACGCACATGCATTCACGCGGGCTGCCTTTATTTACAGTCAGAAATGACGACACACACGCCCACACACAAACAAGCGTGCTCTTGCCGATTCACGTGCATGTGCACACACAGATTGTAAAATTTTCATTTAACTAAAGCTTTTAATGTTTCGCCATTGTATCCTTTGTTTCCCCATTCTTTGTTATTCCTTTTTCCCCATTTATTGAGCTTATTTATACGTGCTTTATTCTTGTTTTCGCTTTTATCAGGATCCCCCCCCCCCTTTTCAGCGAATCCAGCCTCAGAGCGTTGTCTCGGCTGAATCATTATCAAACAGCCCAATAACTCTTCAGAGAGCCTGTCCAAATGATGCAATCGAGATAAAACTAAGCGACCTCTTTGTTACCCACGCTGAGCTGGGGGGGGGATCTCAGCAAGCCAGACCTCAAGTTCCTGACTTTATATCAACAGTAAAAAGTCTGGCTATGAAGAGAATGACTCAGGACTCACTGCATGTGTGTCAGCGTGCCTGCATCAGTGACCGGGACACACCCAGGCGTTTTCATTGTGTTGCATAAGCTGTTATTGCAACGACACCGGAGAGGTGACCAAGCAAGCCTGTGGCTCTCATCCCAGGTGTGAAGGGTAAAGTGTGTGTGTCTGTGTTTGCGTGGGTGTGTTAAGTAGGTCTGACACCCAGAATGTGTTGTTTCTATCGGATATACTCCTGATTTCATTCTGACCTGATACTGGAGAGCTGCTTTTTTTTTTTTTAACCTGAGGCTGAATACAGTTGTGCACAGGAATGACAAACAGAAGCATTTGGGTTCTGATTATCGCTGCTCATGCAGGCTATTTCAGCTGGCTCCTTCTTTTGCATACCATATGAAATAGCAGATGTGCAAACAGAGGAGTTTTCACTGGGACAAGACAACAAAAGAGAAACTACAGCTGCAAGAAAGACATGCACTTTTACAAGAATGTTAGGCTATAATTAAAGAGAGAGGGGTTTGTTAGTATGCTCATGTCTCTTTGATGGTGTGTGTGTGTGTGTGTGTGTGTGTGTACTTTCTACCTTTTCTAACCCAGCCAGGCGCGTGTGCTTGGTGTGTCACGGTGTAACAGGAGCGATGCTTGCCTTTGGCCAGATCATCCCAAAGGATGATGTCTGCTGAGTCAGAGTCTGTCCTCAGACTGAATCTCTCAAACAGGAAGATCTGGGCTGAGGTGAAATATAAAGCACTGACCTGGGAATATACACAGACACTCACAGTCGCTGAGCAGTGGACCTGTTCGATTCAGATTTATTTATGTAGCGCCAAATCACAACAACAGGCGCTTACATTCACCTTACATTCTTTAGCTCATAGGGGGTCACTTTGCGACAGTGGGGAGGAAAAATGACTTTTTAACAGGAAGAAGCCTCCAGCAGAACCGGGCTCGCAGAGGATCAGCCATCTGCCGTCAGCGGTTGGGGGTGAGGGGAAAGAGAAAGAGAAGAAAGAGAGCATATGGAGGCAGGACAAAACAGACTAAGGGAGAGACAAGACAAGGATTTAATGACATGCTGCAGTGGTTTATAAATAGGGAGAGAAAAGAGGCAAGTGGAGCATAAGTGCTCATTGCATCACACAAAGTCCCATAGCAGCCTGAACCTATAGTAACATAATGAACATATATGTGGATAATGAGGATAACGCCTTCCTCTCTTGTTCTTTAGTAAACTAGTTCATGCATTTACTACTTCTAGGCTAGACTACTGTAATTCATTATTATCAAGATGTCCTAAAACCTCCCTAAAAAGCCTTCAGTTGATCTAAAGAGTACTGGCAGGGACTAAAAAGAAAGAAACATATTTCTACCATATTGGCTTCTCTTCATTGGCTCGCTGTTAAATCCAGAATCAAATTTCAAATCCTTCTCGTCACATACAAGGTCTTGAATAATCAGCCCCCATCTTATGTGAAAGGCTTGGTGCCTGAATCACCCCATTAGAGCCCTTTTTCTCTCAGACAGCAGGATATGTAAAAGTAGAATGGGAGCCAGAGCCTTCAGCTTTAAGGCCCCTCTTCTGTGGAACCAGATCCCGGTTTGGATTTGGGAGACAGACACCCTTTCTACATTTGAGATTAGGCTTAAAACTTTCATTTTTAATAAAGCATACAGTTAGAGCTGGACCCTGAATCTTCCACTAGCTATGCTGCTATAAGCGGCTGGGGCGTTTCTTTTTCACGCTCCATGTGTTTCTACAACACTCTGCATTTACTCATTAGTTATAAATTTCTCCTCCGTTGCAGCAGATGGGTGCCCCTCCCTGGGCCTGGTTCTGCTGGTGGTTTCTTCCTGTTAAAAGGGGTTTTTTTTTGCTTCCCACTGACGCCAAGTTCTTGCTCATATCTTCTGTGGATTATTGTAGGGTCTTTGCCTTACAATATAAAGTAACTTGAAGCGACTGCTTGTGATTTGGTGGCATATAAATAAAACTGAATTAAGTTCTTTTTCTTCTCAATCATTTGCTTTTCTTTGTATGTGTGTATTACCCGTCCTCCAATGTCTCCTATAGTGAGAACAGCCTGATCAGGGTTACAGGGATCTACCCAGTAGTCTAGACACCAAGGAGTAAAGTTCAAGCCCTAGAGTAGATAAGAATATATGAGATATATTGCCAGTTCTTATGTTCTTAATAATGCAATGGAATCAAGCTGATGGTAAAATGAAAATAACACAAAACACTAAAAAAAAATCTCCTTGTTACCTGGAGTTTACACTTGCAGCTGAAGGTCTTTTCACACACGAAGTCATAGAAACACACCTCTTTACTTGTGAAAGCCACAGCTATCTGAGACTAAAGAAAATGGAGTTTGTTAGAAAACACAGAAACATGGAGACATGCAACCTGTCCCTATTATATAACAAGGATTTAGCAGTTTGCCAAACTGTTAATTAATGCACAATGGGGGAAAAAAATCCTCATGTGTTATTCAACGCGGTTATACAATACAGAATATGGCATCCATAAATCTGTAGTTTAAAGAAATGCCAATTAAAACTTACAATCAATTATTGATGGTGTTATTACTAAAAAATGTATGTTTACTTTCTGATCTTTATGCACCAGCTTCGTGTCTGAAACGCAATTAACCAAAGCCACAGATCAATAATTCATTAATTGAGTGGAGTATTTGTTTATCTCTGTGCCATACAATATCTGCTCCATTAAATGAGGCTACTTATCAGTTATTAAATTATAAATCCATTTCTTTGAATAATATTTCTTGAACTACGCTTCAGGAGCCACGATGCAGCAGTAATCGATGAGAGGACTGATTAATAGTTAGGTATGCATCTCTCAATATGTTGATAGGTTCACCTTGTCCACGTTTTGCATCAGCACCACATCTGTGACCCAGAGGTCCTTGGGTGTGACTGTGCTGTTCTGCAGTCGATGAGTGTGCAGAAGGGACATGTCCTCCGCATCCCGCAGTCCTACGTTTCCTCCTTTACTCACAGTGAGATACTGACCTGAACTCTGCAGGTACAGCACCTGAGGAGGCCAGAGGTTATTACAAGCAAAACATTTAAAGAAAATATCCACAGAAAGACTACAATTCACACTTCCCCGTAACACCAGCCTTTAGCTTTATGCCCCAATGAAGTTTGCTACATTAGAGAGTGGCGTTATTTATTAAAACCTGAGGAGACAGCTTTTAAAAACCAATTTAAAATATTAATTATGGCTTGAATTTTCCTCTTCTTGCTAGCTACTTTATAACCGCAGAACTACCCTAATATAAGTTCTCTAAAAATGAGCCCCTACTAAATCTTCCACTCATTGGATACAGGTGAATAAAAGGAGCCGTTCTGTGCTGAATCTAATAAAATTGAGAATTAATCATTACAGGAGTTATTGGGTGAACAAAACTTTTAGCTGCAAAAAATAAATTAATTCATTTTAAAAAGCTTGAAGCTGACTGCATCTAATGAGCAAGAGACAAAGTAGATCTTTGATGAAAGGTAGTTTATTAAAATTTCACCGCAGAGGTAAGAGGTCAGATGTTCTGCAACGTAATTACTGTCTTCTCCCTTTTCACAGTGTACCTTTGTAAGATCTCCCAGATTCGCATGTCATTTCTCCATAATTATTATAATTACATATTGATATACAGCTGGTGAGTAACTGATACAATGCGTTTATCTGTAGTGCGAGCGAAGGGCTATCATTTTGGGGCTCTTTTAGCAGCTTTTTCGTTGCTTTAAAAGCTGGAAGACAAAAACTGTTATTCAATTTGAAGTATGTACCCAATGAAGTGTCAGTGAACCTGTAACTGCTAAATGGCAACAAAATAACTTTTATATTTAACAGTATATGGTATACTTTAGTACTTAAAGTATTTCAGTGTATGCAATAGATTCCCATTTAGCTTGTAATAGGGAAAAGCAACGTTCAGGAAGAAATGGTGGTAGATGAAACAAATAATATAGGACCATGTAAAATGGGCAGGTGCAAATACCTGGGGAACTCTGATGAGGACAAGCATTTCAGAAATAGCATGTTCTGTGGGGTGCTGCTGGTTAGCAGCACTGAGTGGTCAAATGACGGACAGACTGTCCACAAGGTCTCGGGGATGTGCTTGTATTACTAAAACCTCACAATACTGACACCAAGGGGTACTTATAGTCTTAGAACCATGCTATAGGCAGGTATCTTTGCTATTAAAGCTGTTGTGTTGCTCTGGCTCATCAGAGTTATGTGAAATATCAAACACCAGAAGTGATTTTGGGAGACAATTACATGACAGAGCAGCTCTAGAAGTGACTTTGAGGAAGAAAAAGATGCAAGATAATGTGTGTTCTAACTGTATGATCCATGTAATACTGCAATGTAATGTAATGTAACATGAAAATAATATTACATGTTTACTGAGGCTCTTCCATCACATTATCGTCTCCTCAAAATCATTCATTCATATGTGTGTATA